TTTTAAGATTTTCGTGGTTATTCACTAAATGATTATCACTAGTATCAGGTTTCTTACCATGGTATGACTTCTTTTTATTTTCCCGATATTACGTAACGGTTGCACGCTCCATGGTCACGGGTTTACCATACCATAGTCAACTCGTGACCATGGGATTGCTCGCGTCTCCCCTGTGCGCGATTTTTGTGAACGACATCGAGCATTGTTTTAAATCATCACAACTTTTATGCTTTGCGGATGACATGAAGATTATAGCGCCTATTTCTTCAGTGTCTGATGCAATCATGCTTCAAGAGGACGTTATGAGGCTCGACACCATCATGATTCATGATCACAAGTTGCTATTTGCTTCGCATGTCGACGCTATTATTACAAAAATCTCTAAAGCTCTCGTGTTTGGGATGCGTATCTCCAGAGATTTCAGACAGGATCTAAGACACTAAAAATTTTATATTGCTCATTTGTCCGTAGCCACCTGGAATATGCATCGCAGGTCTGGAGCCCAGAATACCTTACCTATATATCGCGTATTGAAAACGTGCAAAGAAGATTTATTATGTTTTTAAGTTTTCGAACTAAAGAGCGGTACGATTGAAACCGGTATTTTGATATATAATATTGATGGAAGAAACATCATCTTTTGTCACTAGAGGTGCGACGTCAGATAGCAGACCTATGATTTTGCGAAAATTGCTTCGGGTGACATGGACTCCCTAGAATTCGTGTCCAAGATTTCTCTTAGAGCCCCTACAAAGTCCCTTAGGTTTAATTCACTTTTGTATGTACTTTAACACTAGTGTTGCATCGGTGAATCGTCTTGATAGTACTTTGTTTTTTGGCAAATAGATATTTACTAAATGTTGTGAAAATGTCATTACCTATATGGTATAGTTACTAGTTATATAGTTATAATTTAATGCTCATTAACTTAATGTGTGCCTATCGGTGAGGACCTATAACTGGTTTTCCATTATTATTTCAATTTTTACTCTCTCAGATAGACGTTGGTTTTTAAATAAGTTAAAATATAATCTCAGTACAGAGTACTAAAAAAACCGACCTCAAAAGTAAGTGGAATTACGTCTATTTGCTAAGTTTTATTGAAATATCCCCTAGTTCGCCACTATACAGGACTTGACATTGGAGATAATAAAAATCGGTTCTAACTACTCAAAGTATATTGAGGGAAAAACGCCTTGAATTGGAGAAATAGCAAAATCAACCGTTAAAGTAATTGCTCCTAAATTAAAGTTAGGCGCTATTTATAAAAATGAATCTTCATGCGTGAACAGTCACCCTTCGAGGTGGACGCTTTTCTTCAAAATGAAATGGGACCACCAAAAAATCATGGAAGTCGGTTCACAAATAACGGAGTTATCGCGTAACATACATACAAAAAAAAAGAACATACAGACGAATTGAGAACCTCCTCCTTTTTTGAAGTCGGTTAAAAATAAATAGAACTTATTTTTACAAACAAAATTGTGTACGATCTTCGTTTTTTAGAAACTAGCGACTGCGCTTTGTAGTTAGCTTTTGTTTTTGAATTCTAATTATGAACCAATAAATAATTATATCAGTAAGTACAAATAATTGTACAAAAAATATGTAAATGTCATATTACAAAATTGTAGACTACGTGTTAGATAAAGATGTATGGAAAGACAACGTGAGTCAAGATTTTACACAAATATGATTCAAAATGTATTCTATAGCGTTTAAGAGGGAGCATGCCAAAAAAGTATTGACGTTGGCTCCGCCCACATTTGTGAGACAAATATATGCCTGAAGTTCGCGTGACATGCGACAGGAGATGTTGAATTTTGCGCATTAAAAGTACCAAATTCGTTTTAGCGGAATAACTCTAAAACTAAAGGGATTTAAAAAATCCGTAGTGACAGTTCTCGATCATGCATACATATAATTAATTATCTAATTTTGGTTCTAATAACCTGTAGCATTTCCAGGACGAATCGAAAAAATGTGAAAATTAGAGGTCATTTCGTGATTTTTATCTATCGAGGAAACTTTATTGTTTTATGTTTCTGATTAATGTCTATGCTTGAATATATCGTGTAGCTACTCATACAATATTTTATTTTTAACTTTAAAGTGGACATAAAATCAAATCGAAGATTAGGAATTTTTCCTCTGCTCCCTCTTAAGTTGATTTGAAAAGAGCAATCCCTAGAGTTTCTTGCTCGTTCTTCTCAGGGAGGTCAGCGTAGTGAACGAGCAGCAGCTTAAAAAATGACGTTTTCAAGTGTAAAATTTTACCTATGGAATAAACGATTATTTAACTTGACTTTGACTTTGTACAAAATTGATCCAAAATAATAAAAATGCCACATGGTCTTAATAACGAATAACACAGTCCTAAGCATGCAAAACACTTTTCACGTGGAATTAAACGTTACTTCAAAGTGAGTAGTAAATAACGACTATTAGAAAGTAGCCGCTTGCCAAAACCATAAATCGTGGTGAAAATGACAGGCCTGACAAAATCACGGTGATTTGTCATTGTGATTCTTTTGTAAATCTACGTGGCGCGGCCAATGCCACTAAGGCCAGCCACTTACAGTAGGAATTCCGTTTCGAAATTCCGTTCCGGATTATCGATTCGAGATCCCGTATATAGATCACACACATACGTGTATTTCCGTTCGGAATAACAATATTCAGTTGAAAGACGTGATGTATTGAGTTCAGATGTTCTCGCAGCGAAAATACGTGCTATTTTTCCGGATTTAAATCGCGTGTATTTGTTTTTTCAAACAAACTGACGTTTCTGGCCCTTTACAGGTCCCATGGTCACGGTTGACTGAGGTGGTACAGTCTTCAACCAGTTATGTCTAATATTGATGCAAACCACCCTATTTTTTCACTATAGTTACAACAGTTCAAATTCAAATTCTCAAATTCAAAATAATCTTTATTTCATAGGTAAGCATTATTACACTTGAAATCGTTACAATAGTTGAACTCTACCGCTCATTCGTAAGGCAGATTCCCCTGAGAAGAATGAGCAAGAAACTCTAGGGGTTGCTCTTTGTAAATAACATTTACAATATTTTTTTTTTTTATTTGAAACATCAGAGATCGAGACTACCTCCATGAGCTAAACGGGTTACTACCACGGATTTTTGTCATCCAAGTACGCAGAAGTTGTATAATAACCTTTAGTATAAAGTTTTTGTTTTACTATAGTTTTAAACCTCGGGAAAGGCAAATTTTGTATATCAACCGGAATCTTGTTATAGAAGCGTATACATTGCCCCTTAAATGATTTTTTGACTTTGTGAAGACGACTATCGAAGTCGAGTTATTAATTAAATACCTTATTTTTAATTTTACAAAGAAAACATTACAATTTACGCTACATTAAGTTTTACAAATTATTTTATTGAATGAATTTTTAATAAGTTCAATTTATTATTAATTAATAATAGAAACTTGTTATAAATACATATAATAAATAATAGAAACAAATATACGCGATTTAAATCCGGAAAAATGGTTTAATTTCTTATGCGTAATAATCGCGAAAACCTAAGTACTCGATACGCGCGAAATTTACGATTGTGTTGCAACCCTGGAAAATCTATGGAAGATTTGCATTCAGAATGGTTTCTACCATGCGGAATTCCAAATGCACAAGCCACCATGCGGAATTTCGAATCGGAAAAAAATTCGAAAGGAATACTACTGTATGTGTGTGATAAGTCCATGATTTGCATGTTTTTGTTGCCTTCGAAATACCGAAACGAAATTTCGACTGCATGTGGCCCGCTTTATGGTCATATTTATATTTTGTAATAAAATTATATAGCTTTTAAGGACAGAGAGTTTAGACTTTAAAAGCAACCTTAACTTAACTTTTCTTTTGAAACTAGATTACAGAACTCATTCACAAGTAATTTCAAGTAACTCCATTATTGTAGTAGCAAGTTCTAATCAACATCCAAAATTCAAAAACAATCATTAATTAAACCGAAACTGCTTGGGTCCGCAACTTTGGCGTCATATTTTGAAGTTTATTGTTCAAAGTTGAGACAGCCAATGAATATGAATGAGATCTCCGAGGTCATGGGAGATATTTTTGCATTAAAGAAAAAAAAAATCATAATGAAACATAGTGAAGGTACCGGCTGAGTGAGGAAGTTCATAAATCTGTCACACGATGTCGCTTAAGGCGAAAAGATCTCGTAATACTCACTCGTAAGAACGCACCCACTCATAGCCCCGCACTAAGGAAACCCTGCAAAGCGGGTGCCATGGACACACATAAAGACAACCAAAAATTACACCAAAACTCACGAGAGAAATAAATATACGTCTTACAAGTATTTCTTCCAACTGGGAATCGAACCCTGGACCTCTGCGTGGCAGACCAGCATGTTCGGCCACGGAGGCAATTAAGATCTATAACAGACACATAGAATAATTTCCTCGAGATGTTAACTCGACCTGTAGCTTATTTGGCAGAGCGAGATCTACGGTATAGCGTGGTCGCCCGTTCAAATTCTGCTAGGTCGGAGTTTTTGTTTGTGTTCTATAGTTTAGAAGTTTTAATAAAATTGCTGTTAGCTGAAAGTGAGTGAAATACAAGAAATGAATTCATCCCCTAATCTGCCACCCTTAAAGGTGTAATATTTTGTTCGAATTTGTATGGGATCAGTACTGAAGTACCGTTCTGTGGCGAGTACCATAGATAATATAATTTTGATACAGTACTAAAAAGAACGCCTTTATGATATGGTTTATGAAATTATACTCGTAATTGACAGATTAAAGTACAGGTGTAGAAAAAAATTATGTGTTGTTTGCGTAGTGGGTAACAAAAATGAGATAAGTCTGTTAGTTATTTAAGAAATATGATTTAATTGTTATGTTAGAAAACACGTATTTTTTATATTATATAGATCATTCAGATTTTTTTCAATTGCGTCCAACAGAGCCTTAGGACTCTTCAACTGTGCTTGAACTGGTGAGCGAACGGTAGGGATCTCTTTGGGAAACTATGATATGCATTATTGCAACGTGGAATTTTAAGCAAGTTATTGACAACACTTCGGGTTTTTTTTATGGATGATTTTATTTTCTATTTTGTATATTTGTAATTTTATTTACTTTTATGATTCCCAATAACAAAAACGAAACGACAATTCAGCGGAATCCGTCCATTAATAGCTTTGAGGATCTTTTTCACAAATAAACGCATAGGGAACATGACACCAAATGTCGTTGAGTAATCCAGTACGGTACATGCCACCACAATTTCCGGACCTGTTAGGTTGACCTACGGACCAGCGATTGTATCCTGCTTGGTCCAATAATTGGCCTGGAAAAGAGAGTTTTATAATATTCAGTCATGGAGCTCCATGGAGAAAAATAGAGCACAAAATTTTCTTTTAAAAACAGTTAAAATTAGTCTTTTTGCATTAGACTTATCGGAACTTACCCTAACGACGCATAGCTGATATCATTAAACAATTTCAATGTTCTAAAACTTTATGGGTTATGGTTTTAAATGATATCTCAAAAAATATTTTGTCACGAGCAATGAACCTTGTATCGCGGGTGTCATGGACACACCCATAGATAACTACAAATCCGTGCCTGAAAAGCTTTATACTGTAAGCGACATTTTTGTAATTTTACGGGGGAAGCGATTTTGTGTCGAAAAGCAGTTTGTACGCCAATTAGCTCGAAATTTTATTAAAACTCAATTAGTTTTATTTCAAGCCATTATAAATGTTTCTTAAATTCCCCTGTAAATTTACAAAAATAGCACTTACAGTATAATGCTTGTTAGGCACGGAAATTACACTACTCACGAGAGATAAATGTAGGCCACACAAATAAAAATAAAAATTTCTCCCGGCCCGGTGATCGAAGCCGGTACCTCTGTGCGGCAGTCCAGCATGGTAACCGTTCGACTGGATATTTCCATGTCGAAAAGTTCTTTTCCCAATTTGGTCTTACTGGGAATTGAACCCGGGACCTCATCATCCAGCAACTACAGTTCAAACCGTTGAGTTGCCGAGGTCGTTACGTAAATACACGTAGGCAATGTATTTAGTTTGTTATGAGCGTGATTCCTAAAGGTGTCTTCTAGTATCAGAGATTAAAATCTGGTTTAGATACGCACGTATCTACGGCAGTATAAGTGAGTTCTTGATGCGTAGGAATACGTATTTGTTATAATTAGTAGAATAGAATAGAATAGAATAATTTAATTCATATTATCAATGTCACAATTTAAAATGCAATGTTAAGGAATAATAATTATGATCGTCGGTAATGCAAACATAATAATGAGTATAAAATACAGTAGTGTAACTACTGCCTATTGAAATACAACGGTGTAAATTAAAACAAAATCACAATTGTTTCAAAAGAAACTTATCGACACTGTATAATTAATTATCCAATAAAAGGAGTTTTATTCGGGTATAAAACGCTTCGTCGTTTGTAACACTTTTCAATCTTGTGGGTAGATGTTCGTAGAATCGGGGACTTATTACCCGTGGATGAGTATGTCATACATAGATATATTTATACTAACACTTTTGGATTCCCATTAGGGTAGTCGTCTGTCACGATGGCCACTTTACATCTTTCTTGCGTCACTTACTTATTCATCAATTTATTCATGCAAGCTTTTTTAAGTACGCCCTCTTCCTATGTTATCTTCTACGTTGGCTCTATATATATATGTGTATCTCATTCGGCTCACCCGCTTCAATCGCCCAAACTATCTCAACGTACCTATTCTATCTTCGTCACTATATCCTCTTTCAAACTACATCGTTCACGGATTACAGTATTTTTTCACTCTGTCATATAACCGTACATTATATTTTTTTCTGTATATCATCCATCTCCAAAAAGGTTTAAAAATGTCTCTTATGAATGGCTTTATTGATACCGTTGTTTACATAAATGTTGTAAGTAAGTTTCCAGATGAAACTAATAAATAATAAAAAACAGATGGATCAGTTGGAGTCATTCTTTGATAAAACCAGTCTGGTCACGTCATTCACATCGAGTGTCATAATCAGCCACAGAAAATATCACGAATTCACCATCGGAACTCGGACTATCAAAATAGGCCACGAAAGGTATTATTGTCACGAAAAGAAATAAAAAGTACTGCCAGTACTAACGTAGATCAAATAAAATGGAAATGTGACTGAGCATTGCATATCGCTTCATTGACCTCGCGCTTGGGCGATTGGTATATGAAAAATACTAAAAGATCCACTTTATGGCTTCATGGCTTTGCGAAGTCACTTGGTGATGTAGTTGTGTAATCATACAACATCAACCAACACTTTTATTGCACACCAGGTCAACTAGCAATCACCACAAAGCTACTCTAATACATTTATACATAAGAAAGTTGCTATTTATTCCTGGAGTTATGCTCTGGCATTTCTTTTATGATAATAACACCTTACCTATTTCTTCCGCCAAGCAATAATGTGAGCATTACTGCGTTCCGGTTTTGAAGGGTAATAAGGGTGCTGGTGAAATTACAGGCACATCGGACTTGTCAATTTATTTATCAGGGTGACGGGTGCAGTGGCAGTGCCCCTCAGATCTTTGCGATTTAAACTATGAGCAACTGTTAAGAACAGGCGCGTCGTTTACCACCAGGCCCGCCAGCTAGTTCGTCCCGTCACATTGTGTCATAAAAAATACTGCATCCGTCACCCTGAGACATAAAGTTGGTAAGTTCCAAGTGATTGAAGTTTTACCACCATCTTTATTCTTCAAAACCGGAACGCTGTAATATTCACATTACTGCTAGGAATAGGCGTGGTCGCAGTACTTCCCTGGATGAATACCTTCAGAAGGAGTTCTACGGCCACTGTGATTGAAGTCCAGATATTGAAAGATTTTAAAGAAACTTGACTTACCATGAATAGTATAGAAGTAAGATAAAGGATGATTAGTAATTGTTTCATCTCCGAAAATGCGGTATCCCAAAAACACACAGTCTTTGTAATCTGAAGTCAAAATTTTAGGAGGGTATTCCGCAAACAGATTCTTTAGGTGTTCAACTTCTTCATCACTGTTGACAATAGCTAAGTAAGCTCCTTCTGCTGAACATGTTTTGAAAGCTTCTGACCATTTTCTGGGTTCAGGATGGAATTTGTAACAGCTGTTGAGGATGCCGTGAAGTTTGTAGGCTGTTGAGAACGAAAGAGAAACTATAATTATCATAGTTTCTATGTCATATATGTGACTGAAAAACTTCAGGCAGGAGAAAATGCTTATTGTATACTTCTCACTGTATCCCATTATTATTATTTTTCTAGACCAATTTAAATACTACATTAATAACCATCATCGTTATCACTACCCTTATTATGATTTTTATCCACAACTAAGTGTAGGCCTTCTACAGTTTATTTCATTCAAATACGGCTTGCAATTTTGACGATATCCTCTATTCATGTCGCTAATGGGCATCTCGGGTTTTTATAACCACTTGTCGTTTTGCTCTATCTATTATCAAGTCTAAGTGTTGATTTTATAACCTTCAAGAATGCTTTGACCATACACTTGTACCCGTAATATAAATATTTTTATAGCGTCTCTGTAAACCACATTTACTCTGAATAATTTTTTTTTCTCATAATAATTTTTCATCAGATCCTTATTTTTGGACACTCATCCTCATAGGACATAGGCCCATCTTGTGCTCCACGCATGCAGCGGATTCCGGCATTCTTCATCAGGATATCGGTCCACCTTGGGTGATCTGTCCACGTTATCTTCCAGTACGAAGAATGAGGATCGAGAACACTTTAGCTCCATCTGTCATATGTTCTACGAGTACAGGAAGATTCACATTAGACCGTGCCGGGCGCGAGCCGTGTCCGAGGCGTCCGTGTCTCGTACGTGCCGCACGATCTTAAATTAGACAGAGAGTGTTCAGCCAGGTCAGTGTTTAGACAGCTCGGGCGTCTCTTGTTGGTACGCTGTAATGTGAATCACTACATTGGCTTGGCTTGCGCCCGGCATGGTCTAACGTGAATAGTCCTTAATACGCCCTGCCCACTGTCATTTAAATTTAGCAATTCTCTGGGTTATGACGGTTACTCTGTGATTCTTTTGTAGGTATCCTGTTCAGAAATTGTTACAGAAATAAAAACCACTCACTTACCAGGATCAACAGTAGTACATTTCCCCAAACTAGGGGGAACTTCTACGTTCTTCTTAAAACAAATGAAAGGCAGTCGTAGTTCTGCGCACCTTTTGTAATTAAGTCCTGATTCTACAAGAGCCATACAGTCGTATAATGTTTCACTACAGTGTTCCTTATTCATATTAATGGGAACTTTGAGGTTGTGTAGAGGGATACCTGTTGATCAGAAACAGATATGAATAACCTGACCTCCGGTTAAAAAAAATCGACCTCAAAAGTCATTCATCCCCTAGTCTGCCACCCTTAGAGGAGGATTATTTTCTTGAAATTTAAACGGGACCACATCTGAGATACCTTCTTTCCAACAAAAGAAGAATCATCAAAATTAGTTCACAAACGGCGGAGTTATCGCGTAACATACATACAAAAAAAAGTATCTAGATGGACGTGCTCATGGCCCTGTACTTGTAGTGTGTGTTCAGATTTTAATAATAATATTTACATTTAGATATTTTGGAATTTAGATATTTTTACTAACAAATTAAAAAACACTCCTATCGACGTTTTTTTATTATATACCATATTTTATACGTCTTAAGACTGATTTTAAGAGCCTAATTCTCCTTAAAACCACTCTGTAGTAAAAATTTTGTTAAGTGTTTGGCACTTAAGGTTCTTCATCTCACATCTACAGATATTATGGCAATATAATATTATTACAAATATAAATAATAATAGTATTTTGTCTATAAAGTGAGTTTAACTTGTATTGATCCTAACCTTCTAGGAATAGGAATGTTAGTAGCAGTAGAGCACCTTGTAAAAGATTATTGTTAGATACGTAGCCTGGGAATAGTATAATCCTGTGTCGCGGGTGCCATGAACAGACACATTGACATTACGGAAATTCCATAAATTACACCCAAATAAAATGTAGGCCATTTAAATATTTCTCTCGGCCTGGGAATGGAACGCGGGATCTCTGCGTGGCAGATCAGCATGGTAACCGTTCGGACACTGAGGCCGTTCGTCCAGGGAATACTATTTCTGCTGGTAAGCAGTAATGTGAGCATTACTGCGTTCCGGTTTTCAAAGGTAAGGGTACTGGTGAAATTACAGGCACATGGGCCATGCCACTGCGCCCCTTTACATCTTAGGGAGGCGTAGTGGCAGTGTCTCTCAGGTCTTTAAGATTTAAATCTCTGAGTGGCACTGCAACTGTTATGGGCAGGCGTGTTACTTAGCACCAGGGGCAAGACTTGGTCGTCCCGTTACTTGGTATAAAAAAAGAGATACGACAGTTCTTTTCTCATTATGGAATTTTCATAATGGCATTTCGATGCCTTGTTTTCTCACACTCGTGGTGTGTGAATATGATGGAAATGTGACAATATACAATATATATATATATATATATATATATATGTATATGTATATATATATATGTTTTGCATTTCAGTAACTGTGTGCTTTAAGCATCTTGTAGTAGTAATTAATCCGTGAGTTTTCTTAAAATGTATAAACAAAAATACCAATAGCTCATATACACTGGTGTTAATGTACTTAGTTCTTCATTTAAGTTTTTATGTCATTTTTATGACAAAAAATGTGAAGTTTTTGTAATGGCGGCAATTTATTAGCTTGCTCTCGGCATAAAGTAACAAGAAGTGTAATAAAAAGTAAAATTGAAGTTACTGCAAAATAGATTGTCTTTTACCTACTTCAATGCCCACCGTCATTATAATAAATGCAAAAATCCTCTCTGATAGATTCTAAAAGCTATCCCCGATAAATACATTTATTCAGTACATATATCTTTGGAGCTGGATGGGGCACAAACGTACGTGTATTCTCCGCTTCTTCGTGATTGTAAATAGAAGAAAACAAATTTCTAACAGAGTTGCAAGAGTTCTATAGCGGTGATGTGTGTGAAGTGTTGTATTTTAAAATTTCTACAAGTCAAATTTAAAAGGTTACTTGCGTTTGAAATGAAAAAAAAAAAATTAAAGACAAAAGGATGATGACCATTAGTACATCATCTTAGCATGGCTAGCAAATTCATATTTTTGATAATAAAAATATGTGAATTATTGTCGTACGTTATTGAAAACTACATTTAGATAATAGTTTAGAACCCATCAAAGCAGCAGTTT